TGAAAAACACAGCAATACTGTGCATATTAATTTTTTTTCTTCAGATGTTTGATAATATTTTAAAACATTCTTGATTTTTGTCAGCTTTTTTAAACTTAGGCTGCTTATTATCTTTGTTTCTGTTCAATTTTTAAAGCACCATAACATTTTAGAATTTTCTTTTACATGTGCATTAAAAATGATTAAAGTAAACAAGAAAAAAAAAAAACCTAGCACCAGGCTTTACATTTTCATCAGTCTGAGAGAGTGTTTCATTTTTTTTAACCTGTAATTCCTAATCATGAGGCGTCTGTGTAACATTTTACAGGCTTCCTTTGATCGGGTTATGTTTAACCTATTTTATATATTTATGAATTTGGTTAAGATCGAAGTAGTGCTGTTAGATGTTTTAATCGGGTAATCAAGACTTCTGGGGAGGATGAATAATATATTGACTGATCTGAAACAAGATGAATGTCACAGACGTGAATGAAATGGAGGAAAATAAATAAACAGAAGCTATACAGTCTGCTAAGATTTCCTTTTTGAAACTGCAATAAAGATGACGAGATGTTCTCATTTCCTGAGAAGCCTCTATTAGATGAAACAAAACAAAAATAAAAAAGTGAAACAGGGAAAACTTTTATAAATGTGATTTTTAATAAAATAAATACAGCTCAAGGAATTTATTTTGCAGCCATACTCTGACAGTCTGATGATTTTCATCTGTGTCCAAGAGATGGCGACGTTGTTCTACTGACGTTTTAATTAGACTCAGAGCGAGACCATGTGAGTACATGTGAGTATCTGCCTTCTACCCTGGGTAGAAGTCGGATACTCTGAATCAACCTAACTTGCTCTGAGATACTCAGGATTTTCGGTTTCGGAACAGGTTATACCAACTCGATAACTCAATCCTGAGTAAGGTGTACCTTTTAGGACATCCTCCGTTCTCAGAAAAATCTCAGTTTTCAGTAAAATCTTGATCAGTTCTTAGTAAAATTTTGGTCAGATCTCAGTAAACTTGATCAGTTCTCAGTATAACCTCGATCAGTTATCATTAAAGCCTCGATCAGTTCTCAGTAAAACCTTAATCATTTCTCATTAAAACCTCGGTCAGTTCTCAGTATAACCTTGATCAGTTCTCAGTATAACCACGATCAATTCTCAATATAACTTGATCGATTCTCATTGAAACCTCAATCAGTTCTCATTAAAACCTCAATCAGTTCTGAGTAAGACCTTGATCAGTTCTCTGTAAAACTTCGATCAGTTCTCAGTAAAACCTCAACAATTTCTCATTAAAACCTAGATCATTTTTCATTAAAACCTCAATCAGTTCTCAGTACCTCGATTGATTCTCAGTAAAACCTCGATCAGTTATCAGTAAAACCTCGATCAGTTTTGAGTTTAACCTCGATCAGTTCTCAGTAAAACCTCAATCAGTTCTCAGTATAACCTCGATCAATTCTCATTAAAACTTCGATCAGTTCTCAGTATAACCTCGATCAGTTCTCATTAAAACCTCGATCAGTTCTCAGTAAAACCTCAATCAATTCTCATTAAAACCTCGATCAATTCTCAGTATAACCTCGATCAGTTCTCAGTATAACCTCGATCAATTCTCATTAAAACCTCGATCAGTTCTCAGTATAACCTCGATCAGTTCTCAGTATAACCTCGATCAGTTCTCATTAAAACCTCGATCAGTTCTCAGTATAACCTCGATCAGTTCTCAGTATAACCTCGATCAGTTCTCAGTATAACCTTGATCAGTTCTCTGTTTAACCTCGATCAGTTCTCATTAAAACCTTGATCAGTTCTCATTAAAACCTCGATCAGTTCTCAGTATAACCTCGATCAGTTCTCAGTATAACCTCGATCAGTTCTCAGTATAACCTCGATCAGTTCTCAGTAAAACCTTGATCAGTTCTCAGTATAACCTCGATCATTTCTCCAGAACTTTTCAGTTTTGAGCCTTTTCAGTTGTGGCTCCTAAACTGTGGAACCAGCTGCCTCTTCACATCAGACAGGCCTCAACTCTTGGAGTTTTTAAGTCTCTTCTTAAAACACAAGTGTTTTCAAAAGCTTTTAATGTAGTTTGAGAGTTGTTTTCCTATTTATTTATTCTGTTTTTATGGTTTTATCATTTGCGTTCTTTTAGCAATGCTTTGTTTTTAGTTTGCAATATGTGAAGCACTTTGGCCAACAGCAGTTGTTTTTAAATGTGCTATATAAATGAAGTTGACTTGACTTGACTTGACTAGAACTTAAGATTTTCACTTATCCTGCTTTCTGAAACAGGGCTCTGTATGTCACAACTTTGTTTAAAAAATTCTCATTATAAATAAATAAAACAACATTTGAATATGTTCAAAGCAACAATGACAAAACCTTGGATGAAATCACATCAATATATTGTAAAAACAAGCAATAATATGAGTCATTACAAGTGACATCACAATTTATCCACTGTTCTTTTAGAATAACCACTTTGTTATAGTACATGACTTTACTTTTCTACTTTTATGTATATTTACTGTTTAAACACAAAGCAAACTGTAAAGTAAACTTCACACTCTGAAGCAGAGGCATACAGTACATGCAGTATTCCACTAAAATTATTTACATTTCCCCGGCTTTATGATAGAAAAATAGGATTTCACAATATCTTTTAAAGTAACAATGCACTGGAAAAAATGTTTAACATATAGGTATTAGTGATTAGATTACATTCAGACCTCCTTTCTTGTTTCTTGAAATTGCCTCACCTCTGCTCCGAACAGCCTCTTCACTTCTGACTATTGATTACGGCTTTGTCAGGCCGATAACACTAAATGTGTCAGCGGAGCCACAGAAGTTACTGACTTAATCATTTTGCACCATCATTCATTTCTGCCTTTTTCTCACATGGCTCAATACAATCATATTAACTGTTGCAGCTGCTGCATAAATCTCTCAATCATAAAGAAATAAAGGGGGTTTTGCTGTGACGTTAGAATCAGTGTTTCCACGATGAAAGTCTTTCAGGTGAAGGCTTCTTCTTCGTAGTGTCTGCCTACAAAGGAGGAAATGGACACGTTTAATGAAGAAGGCTCATTCACTTTAATGGCATCACTGTAATTTACTCCTGAAGCTAAAACCAGACACTCTGCAGGTAGGGCAGTCCGGGCTTATTTAGCTCAAATAAGTAAATCATTATGTTATACTGTAACTTCTTTTCATTTATGACATTTGGGTTTTTTTTCAACAATTATAATGAAAATATGCTAGTAGGAAATGTCGTGAAATTTTGTTTGATTTCTGAAGACTATTTAAAGAACCCAAACTCTGTGTTCTTTTAATCAAATTGTGGGAACCAAACCCAGCTTAGGAAACCACATGTCTAAAGCAGAGCTGTAAAAAGCCAAGACTTTCTGCCTTTTTGTCCTACTTGTAGGTCATTTCTTTTTATTATTCCCAAATACACAAACAGCTACACCACCAGAGGGATTTAAAAAGTGGCAAATTGTTACAGACACTTTTCCTTATATGTTTTAAGTCAGTTTTATGGAAAAGATTAGATGTTTAATGTCATCATAGGAATTTTAAACTAACATATTGTCAGGTATCTATTAAATTTTAGAAAGGGAGACAAATAAAAGCTTTTGTGAAATTATAAAAAGATTTTAGTTTTAGGTGAAAGTTGAAAATGTCTTACATTTATCTGTATTCATTTGTCTGTGTCGTTAGCAAAATATCTAATGAAGCGCTGGACATATCTTAAAGATCTCTTAATCATTGGATGTACATCATATTAACATTTCGAGTCAATCCAATTCAAGATTGCCAACATCAACATTAACCGACACAAACATGGCTCTAACCTAATCTAAACATCTGGTGGTAGTAGCTGAGAGTTATGCCCATAATGTCTGAGCACTAACACAAGATTCCACAGTATGAGACGTGCACATATAGCCATCTAGAAGGTCTGACCACACTGGATATACAGTAACAGCATTTCCTGCAGTGTCAAAATAATACAACTTTCTCATCTTTCTCTTCCTGTTGACTAAGCGTGATTAATGTCCCTAAAACGAATGAATAATTTGGATTTGTCATCCAGGTGATTCTAATGTCACAAAAAGCTGTGCTGTCGAAATGTGTTTCTCAAACAGCTAAATATGTGTCAGCTGCTGATTGCAAGAGAAAACACAGCTTTGTCTCTTACATGAGTTTGCTATTCTGTTTATCTATTTAACTTTACAAGAAAAACATTCATGACTCACCATAACAGTTTCTTCTGTAGCACTTTTTTGACCCACGGAGCTTCAGGATCCAGGCAAACCTTTAGTCCATTTTTAAGAGTTGCACTTCGGGATGAAAGACATCAGTTTAAGCCCTTGTGACGTTTTGACTATTTCAAACCACCAACAAGTTTGCGCTTCAGACTTACATGAGCTCAATGTCCATGCAGTGGGAGTTTGCAGGGTTTACCTTCAGCGTTGATATGTGATACCCTATGGGCTTTTTCTCCTTCTTGATGCACTGACATCGCAGATTCAATCTCGGATTCACAGAGCTCGCTGAAGTTTTTAAATGTTAGGGGAGTAAAAACCAGTCATTAACACAAACATGCATTTCCACATGACCCAGATCATGTCAGTGCTTTTAAATACAACAAATCATATTATTTGATAGAAGCACTCACCTTCATGAATAGTCAGGAATACTAGGAGTGCCGCAAAGGTGATTGGAGACATGTTGTCTGAACAAATTTGAAGGTATTTTCGAATTTTTACTGGAATGTAAAGATCTGTTCAAAGCTCAATTGTTCCTTTCGTGACTATGATCTCTTGCAAATCTGCTCAACAAACACTTGGCTGCTGTTTATAGGTTCCTCCTCTCCTCTTTTAAGAAAAGAAAAGGGGTGGAGGGTATTATTCCTCTCAGATTTACATAAACTAAGCGAAAACAGCTCACTTACTTAGATTTCTGGTAGATAAAATAAAATTCCAAAGAAACATTTCTAATCCCTTCTGTAAATTATAATTTTCTAGTAATCCATTAAGCAATGACAGTTTGGCATTTTATCAATTTGTTATAGCCATAGGGTTACATACTGTAACTGTATAAGACATCAAAAGTAAAACTTTAGTTTTTCTTTTGGATAAACCAGTTGAACAGTTAAATCTGTCTGCACATTTTTTTATTAAATATTTATCTTCTGCTTCCTGTCACGTTGTCTGTAATTTTCAGGGTTATTTTTTATTTAAAAAAAAACGCACAAAAAGAAAATCTTGCTAAATTTGTATAATTTAAACACAAGAACAACTGAGAGGGAAAAAAAACTTGCATTCTTTTACAGAATGCATGTAATTTGCTGCATTTCATGCATAAATAAATAAATAAATAAAGTATCAGCTTATCTTGAGAAAAAACAGAGCCAATGTGGTTATATCTTATCACAAACCTACTTTTTGTTAAAGCTTGGAGCAATGTAGGGATGCAGGTGAATTTTACTTTGAAGAGGTTGCACAGATTTTTATCTGCTGTGGTTAAAACAAGTCAACAAGCTAGTCCTGACATGACGTGTCCTTAGAAAGATGGCACTGCAGACATGTGGAATGCTTGCTGCAGGGCCACCCATCCTTTCTCAAGCAGATACTCCAAATACAAGTTTCACATGTGACAACGAGCAAGTAAAAACTCCCCGACACTTCCTGGAATTCCCAGCGCCGTTTGACTGAGTTAATCATTTGGCAACAGCTCGTCCCTGACTGGGCCCAACTCTTCTATGGTAAACACACTAGACACAGACATACGACTGATAACGTAAACCTACCAGCTCTCACACATGCACCGACAAAACAAAAAGGCACCGTGATTCACTTCTGATTTTCCCAGCTCCTGCTTTAATACTCTTAATCTCAGGCTTTTTGTGCTCTGTTTCCGCATGACAAAGTAGTGATAGCATACAGTATGTCAGTATATGCAGCTTGCCATTCAAGATACAGCAGCCTCTTTGTATGGTGTCTACTTTGTGTGTATTTTTTATTACGAAATTCTGCTCAGTTCTTTGCTTTATTGTGCAACAATCCTCAATGTGCAGGAAAGAGTGTGTTTTACAAATTAATATTCTGGAAGCAGTCAGATTTCTTTGACCTGCTGCCATGGAAAGTGGGCAGTAATGTAAATGCTTGCATATGTGTGTGTATTTGTTTGTCTGTTAGCAAACTTGCACATGTACCTCTACATAGATTTTATCGAAACTCTGAAATAAATCCTTGGATGTGCACATACAACAGATTAACATTTGGAGTCAACGTGATTCAAGACGGCCACCGCAGCTAACTGACACTAGCCATCACTTTTTCAGCTGCTGAGCTAAACTTCCTGTAGTAGTTGATAATCAATCGCATAATATCTGAGCGCTAACGTGTTTTGCAAGTTCTCACAATATCACATGAGATGAGGTCATTTACGGCATTTTACTTACATGAAAGGCGATGAGGGAACTGATATGTTTCAGTGTTTTTAATGATGTTCTCAAGACTAAAAATATGTTTTGTTAATTTTCTGTTCACTGATTAGAAATGGATTTCCTGTCTTGAAGTCTTGAAGATGTTTTTATGTCAACTGGATTTTTTTTGACAGAGGGGGCTGTGGGCATAGTTTCCTGCAATATCAAAGCAATATAACCTTCTCATCTTTCTCTTCACATTCACCACATGTGATTAACTTCCCTGAAAAAAAAAAGAATGATCAGAGTTTATCCAGTTGAGTCTATTGTCATCAAAAAAAACAACTAAACAAACAAAACTTATCTGGCAGTCTTTCTATGGGTCTGCATGTGCAAAATCTATGGAACAAAGTTTAGGAAATTTGATGGAGGGGACAAAAGGAGAAGCAGTGGTCCCCGAGCAGCTTTCTAATATGATGTATTTGTCACATTAGGGTTTGGGGAAATTTTAAAATATCCACATTCAGTTGCACAACGCTGACGTTGACCAGATTATTTCTTACTTCCTGTGATTTTTGTTGTGGTGGTCAGAGTCTGTTTCCTGTTGTGTGTGTGTGTGTGTGTGTGCGCGCGCGTGTGTGTGTGTGTGTGTGTGTGTGTGTGTGTGTGTGTGTGTGTGTGT